GTGGCGTTATCTCCCATGCTTGCCACCAGAGGGGTCGCGCTCTCACAAGCGCTCGACCGACTTCCCAATATCCAGTCGTCTAAGGCAGAGCCCCTGCTAGAAAGCCTTACTGATAAGCCCTCTAGCAGGCCCGGACGAAACGAATACCTCGGTCGAGGAGGAGTATTCAAATATTTAAGGTGTTGAAGTGGGGCATGGTTCTAAAAAGATTGAGGAACATAACTATCCAACATAATGGCCCTGTGCTGGGCGAATGTTTTTAATCTAACGGTTCCGATGCAATAGTTTTAACGAAGTCAGTTAATAGAAATGCAGCAGCTGCGTCAAGGTCAAGCAAGGAAGTATTTTGTCCGGGCAAACAACAAGACTAGTAGGCCAAGTAGTTTGGCACGAACACGACCTCCCTGAGGTCCCAGAATTCGATAGGGCATTGCACTATCGTGAATGAGAAACCAGGACTTTATCCGTGCAATAGACGGATCCGTCGAGTATCTGCGATGGCACATATTCTCTGTCTCCGTGCAAAGAAAGAGAATCATCAGGATAATAGACGACGCTGGACAATATACGAGTGGGGGGAAAAGGTATTCTTCTATGGAAGGACAGATGCGATCAATGTTGCGAATTTCTATTCAACATAGCACGGTCGGTATGTTTTCTTTTTCGTTTTCTGAACAGCACTGGCCTTTGACGGTGTCGGTCTGTTAGGTTCACCGATATGTTTGTACGATATTTACAGCGTTTCACTCAGCCTGAATTTTCGACTTCAAATTTGTAAGACTGGATTTTCGATTAACTTCATAAAAGAAATAGAATAGAAACTTATGCAATAATAATTATTCTTTCTTAAGGTTCCTTTCGAAATTAAAATTTCTTTTTATCAATTTGTTTGCGTTAACCGTAATTATTAAGGATTCGATTAGCAATATTTTTCACGTAGCAGTAATTTTGGCTAGTCCGGTAGAAATAGGTATACGTTAAACGTCGATGGTTCTAGCGTTGATTACACAACTGCCGACGACTTGAACCGAAGAAACGTAAACAATGGTGGGCGGGGGAGGATTTTGACACAAGTATCCTAAACGCAGACTGATGCAAGAACTGAGACAATACCGTAATGTGAAAAGATAGTAAAGAGAGATGTTTAATATGCTTTAAGATGGCGCATCTTAACGGATTGAAACCTTTTAATTGCAAAACTATAGCTGAAACATTGAGCCAATATAAAATTTAAATTTAAATTTAAATCCTATGTACCCCTCACCAATTTGCCCTTACGTATACATATACCAACGGCCTACAAGTTTCTTAGCCGGTTTCTAACAATGCATTATATTCTAATCAGTGGCAAAGGTTTTCTAGCTATTGCGATAAGTGAAAATCCGAACTCTTAACGAACAAGTTACTACATATATCAGCGTCGTCGTAGGACAATATAAATATCACGAGTAATTGTCCACTTGACTGATGAAAGTGTCAGGGTTCAACAGCTTTAGATTCACTTTCATCGTTAAGCGCCTCTACTTCGCTCGAACTTACTGAATCTGCAACTTTTCGCGCGACATTGAACGCCGATGCTCTCTCTATCTTAACAGGAAACTTACAATCGAAAGAAACCATTACTGCGAAAACTCAACACTGGATAACAATTTAATTTTAATCACAAAATCTCCCGGTCCCGTTAATTTTGTTCGCTTTTACGCGTGTAACCTCGTCCCTACAATAAATCGAACAACGAATGAAAAAAGCCTCGTGTCTTGTAGATAAATTGTTTCGAATTGCCGAGAATTTATCCGAAAATTTTTATTTACGTTTATTGGCCAGCAATAGTCTATTAAAATTGGAGGTTACGTAAAAGTCGGCAAAAGTTACCCTCCTGTAAATATTACAAAACGTCCATTTTTAGTTTGCACTTGAGAACACCTACGACCAATATTTTAATTTAACTTTAATTTTCGTTCGGGGCCGAAGCTGGCCAAACTTGAAGGTCTTCCAGAAAATCTCTTGTCTCTTTCTTTCAGAGAGTGCGAACGAGGCGGAAACACGTATCACAGTACATCGATGTCTCGCAGCAGATTTAAAGACGTAAACATACTCGACCTCAGCCGGGAAGCCAGTTCCAAGAACCGGTGAAAGAAAACACTGGCGAATTCCAAGGCACCACTGTATATATGGCGGTCGTTTGTCGACCCACGGTTGCGAAGAAATAACCTTATACTCGGTCCAATGAGACGAGTCGCAAATGTTTAGGTAGGAGTAAACAAATAGCCCAATTGAACGGTGTCGCGGTTAGAAGATGATTTTGACCGAAGATCCATCGTTTAAATGATTCTGGTCAATCCGACACTTCCGATGCTTTGAATACAGATTGATACAAGTTTCGAATATTATCATAAATGTATTATAAAGTATTTCCGGTGGGATACGCTCGACCCCAGTCGACAAATATTGCTTGGTAACTATTAAACGTTTAACACCCAACGCACTTGCATTTGTATACCTTTCAAGTGATTCATTACGCATGTGTCAACGCACTCCCAGTATCTTATGAGCCAGAGTATTGTTTGTACTGTTGCGTATACCCGGTATCTTCCCTCGGCAATGCTCGCCGGATACCTAAATTCGTCCCTTTCCTGTCAACCCTTGATCTCTATCACGTCCTTTTTGTCCGTTTTCCTAAAATGCACTCAAAGATCTCCCAAAAAGATACAAAATCCTTTTTAACTTTTGAATCTACTGAGCGATTGTGGAATAAGTGCGAATTTTAATTGTTGCAACCATTTGTTGTTTGAGTTCTGTTGTTGAAATAAGGGTAGTCTCCGGAGGAGCATTTAGTAGGTCTTTATTTATTAGGGAACGTTACATGTCTGGAATCGTAACTTACAATAGTGTTAATTTAACAGTTTGTCTAAATGTTCTTAGATCGGAAGTGGAATATTTGTCTGCTCGTTTACGGTCAGTTTTGAGGGATATTGAAATAGTTATTGATTATCCCGAAGATAATCTTTATGATTGTTATATTTATGATCATTGTAATTGGAGAACCAATTTAACTAACTTCGTCAGAAATAGACGTAGTGTTGGATGACCAACACGACCATACAAACATCATTTAGTAACATCACAAACATTACTCATTCAAACATCCTAATCAGGATTTCTAATCCTTACTCATCCTGAACCTCGCACCCTTCCTAAGTCACACTGCCCCTTAACCATCATCCCTACCTCTATCCATCACCAGCAATAGTATATAAAAGCTTGTAATATTGAAGAATTCTCAGAAAGAGTCTAGTACTTAGTCGGCCTAATACAAGTTGTACGAGTTTCTTAAGAAAATAAAGTGTTGTCAATTCTACTGGAATCCAACAGTAGTATCGAACTTGAAGTGACATCCCAGACTCCACGATTACCAGTTTCTGATCTTCACGTTCTTAAAGCCTCATTTATTTCATTGGATGTAATTTTCAGTGTATTTCCATTGTGTATTTTGTTAATAGTAGTTTATCTGATTCGTAATAATAATAGTAGAAATCGTTTATTAATTGAAGAGGGATAACATGGCAACAATCAGTTCAAGAAGACTTAGAACCCAAAGTACCGCTGGTCGTACGCGACTAGATGGTCAAATTAATAAGCTCGTGAACCAGAGAATGCGAGCAATAACGAGAGGAAGGCAACTTAAAGTTGACCTAATTCCTCCAGTATACAGGGTGTTCGGCCACCTCAGGGAAAAATTTTAATGAGGGATTCTAGAGTCCAAAATAAGACGAAAATCAAGAATACCAATTTGTTGATGGAGGCTTCGTTAAAAAGTTATTAACGTTTAAAGTTCCGCCCGTACTGAATTTTTTTTCTAGAAAATGGGTAGGATTTCGGGGGTATGTCAATTCACTAAAAATTATTGTAATTAACCCCCGCAAACGAAAATAATTTTTCCAAAAAGATTTGAAATTTTTTAATTTTGTCGAAAAATTTCGTACCTTGATAGCTGATTTGCGTCAAGTTGAATGGCACGCGATAGAAATCGCGCGAACGTTCCAGAAACATGCAACTTCCTCCGTTTACCTTTTGTTTTGGTGACAATACGTCCGACCAGCTCTCTTGCCTCGTGGTCGCCCTACCAGACGGACGTATCGTGCGTGTACAGAATGTTAACCTATTATCTATGTAATATACATATATGTATATTTATGTGTAATCGTATATTAAACTAAGTTTTCGCTCACATTCCTTCTTGAATTTTTTTCTAGAATATGGGTAGGATTACGGGGGTATGTTTATTGACCAAAAATGATTATAAGTGGCCCCCGCAACCGAAAATAATTTTTTCAGAACGATTTGAAATTTTTTTTTCACCGAAAAATTTAGGCACCCCCCAGTTGATTTTTTCTTAAAAATTTGTTTGACGTTCTACAGAAAAGTTGTCTAATACTTTTTTGTACGTACCCATGGGCTCTGCTTCAGAAAAAAATTCAATGAGATACTTTTACTATGGCAGGAGTTGTGACCGTTTGAAAATTGGACCAGTTTTAGGGGGGTTTTCTCACTTTACGGTGTCAAGGAACAACTTTTTCAATATCGTTAGAATGTCTACATATTCTCCACTAGAATATGCGTTGTTTGTCACATTAAATTTTCGGTAAAGAATTTTTTTCTCAAAAGTGCCTAGGATTTTGGAATATATCTATTCATTAAAAATGCTTATAATTGATCCCTATAACTAAATATAATTTATTTAGTATGATTTGAAATTTTTTAATTTCGTCTAAAAATTTCAGTACCTACTCGAATTTTTTTCTCGAAAGTGAGTACGATTTCAGGGGTACGTGTAGTCACCAAAAATGATTGTAGTTAAGCCCCGCAATCAAAAATAATTTTTTCAGAACGATTTGAAATTTTTTAATTTAATTTTTTAATTAGTTTTTAATGAAGCCTCAGTCAACAAATTTATATACTTGATTTTCGTCTTATTTTGGCCTCTAGAATCTCCCATTAAAATTTTTCCCAGGGGTGGCCGAACACCTTGTATAATACTCAACCATGGAACAGTGTAACTGTATTGAGTAGATTTGTTGTATCAGATTATAAATGGATTAAAAGTGGTAGAATTGGATCATTGATTACTGCATAACAAGTTATTTATGTACAAACTAATGAAAGACCACTTAAATATTTAGCTGCATCAATAGAATTTAGAATTGGAATCCATTAAAATGTGACATTTAACGAATTTATGTATCCGGCGAGCATTGCCGAGGGAAGATACCAGGTATACGCAACAGTACATATTGTAAAATAAACCGCTGACGTAACTATTATAATTTCGATCAATGTAAGTGCAGTCACTGGCGTTCATGGATAACGAATTTGTTAAATACATAAATCGGCTTCGTGTTAGAAACGTAGAAATCAAGGAATGCCTGAAGCAGGCCATGTGCTTCTCCTTAGCGCGCCTCCCCCTCTTAAAGGAGGATCGGCCAGAATGTTTAGACAAAGAAGGACCGTACTGTCAAGGATGCCCTCACGACCCTGGTTTTCTGTCAGGGTACAGAACTGTATTGGCTTTTGCCGTGAGCAGATATACGCTACAGTTTTAAGAAGCAAGTCGTGTCGATTTATTTAAAACGCCCGACCGCTATCCAGATCCTGATATCGAACTTTTCTTATATATCAGAAGCGGGATTTACCGTGAGTGCAGTGCACATTTGGAGAGGATACTCGCGTATTGTGTGTACGGACTATTCGAGTGTCCTTGAACAATAAAGTGTGCAGTTAGAGTAAGACTATTTTTAGTGATAAGACGTAGTGTTAATTGTGTATATACTTTTTGTTCGTTGTGTTGAATTTTGTGAACGGATTTTGAACCGTTCGAACGATGGATCGTGCATCGTGCAGTCGATACAGCGACGCGGCGGACCAGCGACCGAGTGTTGTTGAATCGCGGCTTGAGAAGCTGGAAAACATGATGGAGGAGTTTTTGCGGCAATCGCGCGCGCGATCGCATGCGTCCCAACGGCGGGATTCGCGTTCGCGGTCACGTTCACGTTACGTAGCCCGGCAAGGCGAACTCCGCGTAGACGATCACGCAGTCCGCGAAGAAGCGAGTCGGAGTCGCGGAATACCCGTCACGATCGCGTGGAACGGGAACGTTTAGAAACGCGAAGTTCCGCGCCGCGTGCGAAATCACCCAGTTACGCACGCCCAGGGGACGAAAATTTAATGCCCATATAAGACCCATCGAAGGAAGACCTGTCAATAGAGAATTGGGTTCGACACGTGAACGACTTGGCAGCTCGATTCGCATGGGACGACATTAGCGTCATGCGCTTGATCGCGACGAGATTGCGAGGACATGCCCGCCAGTGGTATGATACCCGGATGCGAGTCGCGACCACGTGGGCCGAAACAAAGGTCCTCCTCGTGGCGCAATTCCGGCGAACGATGCCATTTTCCAAGTTGCTGAGGGAAGCAGACTTGTATGAAGCAAAACCCGGACAGGCCCTGGGAGATTGTTGCTTCCAGAAGATAAACTTAATCAGACGGCTGGACATCGACCTGAGCGACGAAAAGATTGTCGACATGGTCATATTCGGCGTACCGGACGAGACAATTGCCAGGACAATCAGGTCGGCGAAGCACACCGATCCCAATGATCTGTATGCGTCGATGTGCACCATGGGCAGCATGCCTGGAAAGGAGGAACGATTGCGGAACAACCGGCAGGTCGTACTTCGTCCACCCTCCGCAACGAAGACGAGCGACGGCCCGAAGAGCAAAACGGCGATCACCTGCTTCAATTGTGGGAGAGTAGGACACCGGGCACGAGAATGCCGAAAGCCGAAGGCAGAGTGCAACAGCTGCAAGAAGCTAGGACACCGACAAGAGAGTTGTCCGGAAAAAGAGGTAACTATGGTACAAGATATTAGGAACCGTATTAATATGTATAAGATTTATGATCGCGGAACCAGTAAAAAGCCAGAAGACTCGTCACACTGAAAAGGTATTATTGAATTTGATGTACTTATTCGGTGTGCCGACGAGGATAATAAGCGATCGTGGAACAAGTTTCACGTCGCAACGGTTCGCTATTCTATGTCGAACGTATGGCATCAAACACGTGCTTAACGCGGTAGCCACACCAAGAGCGAACGGACAATGCGAACGATACAATAAAACTATCGTTGACGCGCTAGCGACAAGTTCGGCAGGCCTGGATCCACGAGACTGGGACATTCAGGTAAACAGGGTGCAAAGCGCAATAAACACCACGTGCAACAAGGGTATCGGTACGACGCCGACCAAAGCATTGATCGGGTGCGACACGAGAACAGTAGCTGAAGGCACACTACTGAGTATCGTACAGGAAGAAACGGATCGGTTGGATTTGGCTGCTCTGCGAGGAAGCATCAGCCAGCACATATCCGAAGATCAACGGAAACAAAAGGAGCGGTATGACCGTACGCGAAAAGAAGCGCGTACGTATGCCGTTGACGAGCTGGTATTGGTACGAATTACCAGTGAACCTGCAACGGGGAGCAGCCGAAAGTTGCTGCCTAAGTACAAAGGACCATTCAAGGTTCGAGCGGTGCTACCGAATGACCGCTATGACGTAGAAGATCTACGGGAATGGGCGAAACGGCTACGAACAGTCGTTGCAGCCGACAAGATGAAACCGTGGATTACGATCCAAGGGGACGACCACGATGATGAACAATAATCATCGATATATCCTTTTTTTTTGTTAAATTAAAGTATCGTTGATTTTAGTACGGATAGTCGTTCGTTAACGATCGACTGTCATATAAGTTCGAATGCAATCTCACATTTATTTGAGTTTGGTTACAGAAACGTCAGGGTGGATCGAAGGCGTGAGGCTTCGATAAGCGCCAGGATGGACTTTGCCCGGCGACCAGGCAAAATCCGGCAAGCGAGGGCAACGGCCTAAGCACCTGACGAGGGAGGAGGACAAATAGGGGTCACTCAACACCGGTCCAACGGGACGGACCCAAGAAAGTTATCCTTCGCAGATACGACGGTATCTTAGCGAGGAAGGGCGTTGAGCCAAACGGACACATACGGTGTCAAAGTTGCTGAGCATAGGTACGCAGGTACCTTAGGCAAATATCCTTCGCGGGTACAACGGTATCTTAGCGAAGAAGGGCGTGAGCCAGACGGACACGACGGTGTCAAAGTTGCTGAGCATAGGTACGCAGGTACCTTAGGCAAATATCCTCCGCAGATACAACGGTATCTTGGCGGGGAAGGACACCGAACCAGACGGACACGAAGGCTTGTCTCAGGCAGGGTGGTTGTCAGTAAGGGATACAACGGTATCCATAGTTGATCGTGAGTGGTGCAACGGTATCACGTCACGACGACAACCTTTTTATTTTCAGCCAAATCAAAGGACTAATTTTATTGTAAAGTCTGAGGGCAGACTTGAATGTCAGTATGGCCGAATGTTAGAAACGTAGAAATCAAGGAATGCCTGAAGCAGGCCATGTGCTTCTCCTTAGCGCGCCTCCCCCTCTTAAAGGAGGATCGGCCAGAATGTTTAGACAAAGAAGGACCGTACTGTCAAGGGTGCCCTCACGACCCTGGTTTTCTGTCAGGGTACCGAACTGTATTGGCTTTTGCCGTGAGCAGATATACGCTGCAGTTTTAAGAAGCAAGTCGTGTCGATTTATTTAAAACGCCCGACCGCTATCCAGATCCTGATATCGAACTTTTCTTATATTCGCGAACATTGTGGGAGCTAACAATAAAATTCGAAGTTCCACACCTTATGTTGGATGACCATTGTTGGTCCTGGATGTAAAACGTATTGAAATATATTGTATTTGTTAAAGTACGCTTATTGCTGTACTCGAAATTCTGGATCGTAAATATCCACAATGGCCGAACAATGTTTGAAAATAACGTAAAGCAAACTTATCAAGACGCAACAGGATTGAATCGGGGCATTTTTTTTATGAAACTGAAAATATTTTCGTAGTTAAATCGATTCACAATTTTGAACGAAGGAGAATTTCCGAGAAAATTCAAAGAATTTTTACCATCTGGAGCGGCACGCACCCAGCTTCGCTTTCATCGTCGATGACCACTTATCCCTGCTCTTGAAACCAACATAAATAATCTTTATCTCGGTTTATTCTGCGGTTTATTTACGTCGTTTGCTCTGTAGGTTTATTTTATTTCGTACGGCCAGATAAATATTATTTATGTTGCTATCACGAGTACAGATAAGATAACGAAGTGAATGAACTTTTTGTCTATTTTCTCTAATAAAAAAAATATTTAACGAAATCATAGTTTTCGTGTTTTTTCAACAATTAAGAATTATGGCTTTGCTATGTAAAATCACCTCAAAGATTATCCATCTGTAGATAAATTTTGTAGTAAATTCTACTGTGCTACACGAACAAAATTGTTAAACATTTGTTCTATAATTATATAATAATTCTTTACTTCTGAAATCATCTAAAATACCCCCTTAAATCATTGCTAAAATAGTTTACTCGTGTAACAAAATTATTTTAAACATTATGTAGATGAGCATCAAATTAAGAAAAAAACGTCAGCGGCAAAGTAATTTAATGGACTTTAATGGTTAAAACGTGAAAATAAATATTCTATTACCGTACAGATTTCGATATTCAATTAATTACGTTTCAATTATTTATTTGTGTAGTAGAAGAAAACAATGACAGTGATGCCTTGGAAATTGGCTGGTTGGTGTCCCCCCATCCCCCATCCCTCAGTCCTTGGAACTCGCTTTTTCCAGCTTGTCTCGGCGGTCAAGTATGTTTATATTAGTAAGTCTACCACGAGACATCTCCATCCTATTCGCACTCGCTGAAAAAAAGACACAAGATTTCCTGGAAGATTAATCTTCCTTCAGATTTGGCCAGTTTCGGTCCCGAACGTCGACCAATATCCAAGGCAACGCTGTACTCGCAAGTTGCATTATAGATAAGGATTTATTTTAAATATGCGTGATAGGTCGACGTCTCTACGAGAATTTTATTTCGAAACGGATCTATTTCTGCAACAAAAGTTTCTATTTAGCAACGATTTGCAAATAATTGCGGAATATAATTCCATATAGAGTACAGATGATTCAGCTAGTATGTTGTAATCGAAAAATATAAGCAGGCCTCAGCTAACTGACCCATTTCGAGTAAATAATTCAGCGAATAATGTAGCTGAAAGACTCGTAATTGATTTATCAAAGACAGGTCAGAACATTACAATAGATAACTGGTTCGACAATTATCTATGGATTACCACATTGCTCGAAGAACGATTGACTGTCATCGAAACGATTCGTGAAAATAATAAGGCACAAGTCGATTTTCATGGAATTTACGAGAGGTAGCTTTTGAAAAATTATTTCACGTGTATCTTTTTTTATCGGCTCACATCCACTTTGAAGTATTAACCCTTTGCGGACCGAGAGCTCTTCACCGTTTCGTTCCAGCAGGTCCGCGCTGGATTCGCAAGTGCGTACCAACCGGTCCGCACAGATTTCACCAATCGCTTATACGCTTGGTAGCGTTTACTTTGGAAAACATTTATGACCTTACTAACGAAACGTACTTATGAATTAGTAGATATATAAAATAAAATTGATCTGTACGCCACGGTGGGTTTGAAAAGACTAAAATTAAGCCCTTAAGTTCAAGATGCATGGTTTATTTCAGAATTACTACACTGTAGCTCTTATCTTATCTTGTTTAGTTTAAAATTGAGATATAGTCGGGTGGAACTTGATACAGGACGCGGCAGAACACAGAGCGATGTCGAGCCACACTCGACATAGGACGCGGCAGAACGAAAAGCGATGTCGAGTCACACTCGACATAGGACGCGGCAGAACGAAACGCGATGTCGAGTCACACTCGACATAGGACCGCAAAGGGTTAAAGCGGGGCATGGTCCGAAAAATGGTTGAGAAACGTTGACTTGAACGAAGAATAACGTATATGCTCTCGACCAGTGTATTTTGCTCGATATTTGACTCTGCGCACAAGTGTGAAAGCACTTTCTCGACGATGAAATATTATTAAATCGGAACATCGTGCTCTATTAACCGATGAATCGTTAATGCGTTTGCTGCGAATAGCAACAACTGGTATTTTAGTTGACATAGATTCATCGGTTCGCCAAATGCCAAGGCCACGCTGCTCCCATAAAAGATGTTCATTAATGTCCATCGATATCTCGCACAGTGGAGCAATTGTATACCAAACGTGGAAAGTAAATTGTTTTCGATAAATATCCACGTTAAAAAACAAAAAATTTACATTGATATTTAACCGAACGCTTAGGCCATTAATATTACACGATTTTTTTTTTAAAACCACATTCACAAATATACGAAAAGGATTACAATTGGCTGATAAGTTAAAACAACATGTTGAAAAGGATCCGAATGTTGAACGAGCTACAAATTTATAAATGGATTTGAAAGTTTGTACGAGTCGTTCGAAGGCATTATTAAAACAACGAGTAAAACAGGCGCCATTGCAATTGATACGAAGCACAGGAGATACTTCAGACGATGAAAGTGATTTTTCTCCGGTAAGAAAACGGGTTTGTCCTAACCGTGTAGCAGAAAATGGCGATGAGTCATGTCGATAGAAATGTGGATTATTGCTAATATATTACTGTCTTCTCTTTTTCATTTTATATTAGTTCATTAACTTGTTTTCATCGCATTATTGCATTTCTTTGCAATACAAACAATTACAAAAAATTCTTTAGTGTATGCATTGCTAATTTTCAAATTGCGTTTTGAAATTCCGATCATTCCGATTTCCTTGACAACGGTAAGAGGTACAAAATTTCTTTTGGTGGTACAAATTAGTACAAATTCAGCACTAAATGTATCCACTTTGATTTATTCATTTTCATTAATTTTAACATTGGTCCTGCCAGCATAACGTTAAACTCGCATCGTTCCGATTTCCTTGATAACGGTAAGAGGTACAAAATTTCTTTTGGTGGTACAAATTACTACAAATTCAGCATTAAATGTATCCACTTTGATTTAATCATTTTCACTAATTTTAACTTTTGGTCCTTGCCAGCTTAATATTAAGCTAGCAGCGCCACGATTTTTTTTAAAACGGCAGGAGGTACAAAATTATTATTTGTGGTACAAATTAGTAAAAAATAAGTACTAAATATTCCACTAGGTCCGATGTGATTCTGCTGCTTTAGTCCTGCTAGCTTAAGGGGCCTTTCTACCTTGTGGGATTAAAAAAATCGATATTTTTTTTTTGCATTTTCCTTTAGTATGTAGTCTCGAAAATATGTCTACCAAATATTAAATTGAAATTCGGAAAACTAACGAAGTTATAGCCTGTTGAAATGTACCGCGCGCAGGTATAACAATTAGACGTGAAACTTTAAAGCTGTTTTTCTCGAAACTACATTTTTCGGCACTGCGTGCGTGATAACTAAAAACTATTCAAGATATCAACATCAAATTTATACAGTATCTTCAGAACTGGTCTCCCTATAGCATGAACTAGGATAATTGCGATATATGCAATACTTTTTCTTTTATTAACAAAAAAGCAACCAAATATATGAAAATATTCAGTATTTTTTCGTAAAATAGCTGCCATTTTGCCATTTTTTGTTTTTTTGAAAAGATCCTAGTGCATGCTATAACCACACTCATCTATATTAAGAATATCGTTGGTTTTAGGATTTCGAATAACTTGTTCGCAAGATATCACGTACGCAGTCGGGTGCCGTTCGTAAAAACTGTTGTTTGATGATCAACAAAAACAGCGTAATCAATAGATATTATGCGTTGCAAAAATTCGTAAATATAGCTAAATATATAATAAATGTACCTACAAAATCCGGAATTAATCGCTCTTTAATAACCCGCAAAAAAAAATCACAAAGAAACACGTATTTTTCATGCCTACAAGGTAGAATGGCCCCTTAAGAGAGGTCTTTAATTGCAAGGGAGAAGGACATACAGCGAGAACTTGTGAAAAGCCAAAACACAACAAATGCTTCCTGTGTGACGAAGCCGGACATTATGCGAAATATTGTAAAAATAAACCGGGAGTCAAAAGGTCCGATACGAACAACGCGAGTAATGTTGTTTTGCACACACAAACGGGACGAGGCCACGAAAAATATTTTAAGAATGCATTCATCAATGGAAAGTATATAAAATCCTATATAGATCTTGGCAGCTCTTCTGTCACCTTGCGTAGGGACGTTGCTGACGAGGCAGGGTTTACGTACTTAGAAGGAAACTTTGAACAATTGATAGACTATGGGAACGGTATTGTTATCCCGGTCGGAAAAATGACGGGTAATCTTCGTATAGATAATGTAGAAGCTAAAGTAACGATACATATCGTACCACCTGACTGCCAAATAATTTCACTTATTGTTGGTCACCCATTTACTGAGCAACCGCATGTGGAAATCGTCAGTCGACCAAGCGAGCTGATAATTAAGGAATTGGAAGACAATCTGCCTAAAATAGCACCTGACGATACACAAAAAAAACCTAAGCTACGTGAAGTAGTTATCGCAAGATGACGCAGTCAGACAAGATGTTTTTATCGACGGTTGGCGCGAAAAGGATTGCAAGGTGGTTCGTGCGAACTTTTTCAGTGTTCAAGGACACGATGAAAAGTATTTATACAACATTAACACTAAGGATGAAACGATAGATGATGATCTTTCGCGTGGGTTTAAATTTGTTGGTAACGGCAAGATGGCGATTTTACCTGTAACCAGGATTAAGGTAAACGTTGAAGACTTCTTTCAAGGCCGACTTACTGACTTTGCGATGCGCAAACCAGAGATGTCGCTAAAAATGAATGTAGTGAACGCCCAAAAAGGTGACATACCAGTGCGTATTTGTAATGTATTAACATTCGATGACATGAACGAAACGTTTGATTTTGGAGGTGTGACTTTCAATCGAAGGCCTAGACCTGAGAAGAGTGCTACTGAAAGTGGACGTACTGAAAAAGGTCCTAAGGGAAAAGGGGCGAAGTTAGCTCCAACCGAACGTGTGATGAAGGTGGGCGGAAAAGAAAGAAAGGACAAGAGAGAGAAACGAACGAAGGAGAGTTTCGCGAAGAAAGAGGTGGAGGAGAAGACAGAGAATGTCGACTCTAAAAATCCTAGCTTAGAAAGTTTGCAGATAAAAGCGAGCAGAGTAAGCTTGGAGACAAGCGCTGATGATGATAGCGCGGACGCTATCAAATTGTCAGGAAAGGCCGAACTGATACCGATTTTCGCGGGCAACGACAACGCGCGTGACGTCATGCGAGAACGACACCGCGGATTGCTGAAGATTCGCGAATAATAGATTTTGCGAGGCAGTCGTCGAACTAATTAAGTACACGTGTACATCTGTAGCTATTCCCTTATAATACTTTCTTAGAATAAATCTTCTTGTAACAAAATGTATTTCTATTAATTGAAATTTAGTATC